CATTTTTCGAAAAGATATAGTATTTTTAAGTTAAAAATTTAAAATCGAAAATCGAAAATTTTAATACAAAAATAGCGTTTTTTTAACTACGGCAGCCGTTTGCATGTAGAAGATAAAGTGTCGGGACAAATTTTTTTTTTCATTTTATAGTACATAAAATAAGCTTTAATTTGATATATGTTTGAAGGACGAAGTATTTCCGGAACATTTTCAAAAATTAAGTTGAAAAAGTTACTTTTTTTAAAAAAGTTGTTATTTTAAATCCCTCCCATTGAGCAGGTTAAGTGTTAGATTTTCAAACAAATGGTATCAAATGAAAATGAAATATCTAAGGTTTTAGTATAAAAAGAAATTATGTTGATTTGTTTATTTTTGAAGAAGTTATTGAAGATTTAAGAAAAAAAAGTGAAAAATTGACAAAATTTACCAATTTTTAAATTTGTAATTTTTTTTGATATTTTTCTCATTTGTAGGAAACGAGGGAAAATTTTTCAATTTTTAAGGGTAATGTCTTCATCTAGATACGATTTTTGATCTTTTGACGTATTGTTGAAAGAAATCGGTCCAGTGAGAGCTGAGAAAAAGTGGTAAAAGACACAAAAAGAAAAAAAATAATAAATAAACACATCATAGTAAAATTAATACCTTCTTAGTTTTGCATCGAAGCTAAAAAAGTGGTTAAAAAGATCTACTCAATAGCGTACTATAAAATTTGATTATAATTTTAAAAATCCATTGTTAAATTAGGAGAAACTAACAATCATTTTTTTTAGAAATGATTTATATAGCTACATGTTACCAAAAAATTATATAGTCTAGTAGTAGCACACACAAATAGAGTAAAAAAATTATTAAATTACAAAGTAAAATGATTTAATTATGTAGTTGAAACCTATCATATAAAATTATCATGTCAAACTTGATTCGTCAATAAATACTCTGAAAACATTAGAAATGAATGATTTTAATTGTCTGTATGGAGAACATGGGATAAGTAACTATTTTATTGATAAATTAGAATTTCTTTTTCAATTTTTGAGGGTATCAAATTGTAATCATTTGACGTATCATTGAAATATATAGGTCAAGTTAGAGCAGAGAAAATAAATGATAGTTACAAAAAGACATTGAAAATGTCCATTATCATTTAAATATTTATTAAACAATAAATAACTTATGATGTTATCATAAGATGGGAGATTAGCTATTACTAAAAATAATTGATTCGTGATCTAAAATACCTAAATTAGCTAAGAAAAATCATTAGTAAAAACGATATGTAGACACTCTTATAAGCTTGAATATTGGTAATGTTTTAAATATTAAAAAAAAATTGGATTAGACTGAGATAGAAATGCTCAAAATAGAAACTGATACTTGATTCAACAAAACAATTATCTATTGAAGTTCTAAGAAAACAAAAGGCTGAATTAATAATGATGTGAATAGGATTAAGACATTCTTACAATAGAGATTCACAATAGATAATAGAGAATATAATGGAGAATAATAATAATAATAATGGAGAAAGGCTATTTTTAAAACATTATTTTGATCACTTTTAACAAAGAACCAAGAAATAAATAGTACATTGAATGTATAATCCATAAAATATAGGATTATAATATAACCATAAAAATATCAAATATAACGTAGAACTAAGAACCTTTTTACTTGAAAAAATAAATTAGAATTTTACTGAAGTTTTGAACTTATATGATCTTCATATTATAATAATATTTTCAGTATAGTATTAAAAAAGATAACTGTTTCTACAAAAATAAAAACTATTTATACTATATTATTTGAAGTATTCATAGGTAAAATAATTTTATTTTCCCTTTTTTTATAAAAAATTAAAAAACCAATGTTAAATTAAAATAAAAAAATAAAACCCAGAACAGGGGGGTCGCGGCACAATGGTGACGTGGTATAGATGGATCAAGTATAATGATATATGACAGTGATTAAAATCACTATAAAAAAAAAACGCTTCGATGCAAATCTTTAGATGGTGTTTAATTTAAAAAAAATGGTGGATTATTCCAAAAGCTACATGATCTGCTAGTTCATTATTAATATCCTAATTAAGATAAAGTATGTCGAATGAAAAAGGGATTCTTAAAAAATATTAATTCTCATAAAAAAATTGTATTGATCCATACATTTTTTAAAAAGTTATAGCATTTTAAAGTTAAAAATGTGAAAAATAAAATTGAGAATTTTCACACAAAAATAGCATTTGATAGCCATTTTCATCATAAAGACAAGTCCAGAGGTCAAATTTTCTTTTCGCATAATAAAATAAATTACATTAGCTTAAATTAAATATATATATAAAAGTGTCAGACTTTCCGGAACACTTTCAAAATTTAAGTTGAAAAAGTAAATTTTTTGTAAAAAATTTGTCATTTTAAATTCCCCCTGTGGGCAGATAAAGGGTCAGATATAAAAAAAATATATACCAAATAATAGGTAAGGACATCATGCATCTATAAAAAAAAAATTATATTGATCCATACATCTCTCAAAAAGTTATAGCATTATAAAGTTAAAAATATAAAAAAGAATTTTTTTACAAAAATCGTATTTTTTTTATAAACTTTGATGTCAATTTTCACCATGAAGATAAAATAAAGTCCGAAATTTTTTTTCTACATAATAAAGTATATTACATTAACTTTAATTTAAGATATATATAAAAGTGTCAGACTTTCAGGAACACTTTTAAAATTTAAGTTGAAAAAGTTCTACTTTCTAGATGCATTTTTTAGATTTGAACCCCTCTCGTATATAGGGAAATAGTCGGATTTAAAAAAACAATATGTCAAATAAAAGATGTATACTACTCCTCATGAAAAAATTATACTGATCCATACATTTTTCAAAAAGTTATAGCATAATAAAGTTAAAAATGTAAAATACAAAATCGAAAATTTTCACACAAAAATAGCATTTGGTAGCCATTTTCACCGTGAAGATAAAATAAAGTCCGAAATTTTTTTTTTCATGATAAAGTATATTACATTAGCTTTAATTTAAGATATATATAAAAGTGTCAGACTTTCCGGAACATTCTTAAAATTTAAGTTAAAAAAATTAATTTTTTGTGAAAAAGTTGTCATTTTAAATCGCCCCTTGTGGACAGGTTAAGGGTTAAATTTATGAAAAAAATATACCAAATGAAAGGTAATGATATTACGCATCTATATAAAAAAGATTTATATTGATATGTTCATTTTTGAAAAAATTATGGCACTTTTAAGAAAAAAAATTGAAAAAATTTTTTTTTTAATTAAAGTATATTACATAAGTTTTAAGTTAAGATATATATAAAAGTGTCAGTCTTTCCGGATCATTTTCAAAAGTCAAATTGAAAGAGTCAATGTTTTGTACAATAATTATCATTTTGAAACCATTTCTGTGGGCTGTTAAGGGGTCAAATGTTTACAAAAATATATAAAATGATAGGTAAATATTTAAGGTATCTATAAAAAAAAAAAATTTATATTAATTTGGTCATTTTTAAATAAGTTATGGCAATTTTAAGTAAAAAAAAATTGAAGAAATGTCGAAAATTTGCATTTTTTAAATTTGTAATTTTTTGGGTGATTTCCCCCGTTTACGGGGAACGAAGTAATTTTTTTTAATTTTTGTGGGTAATGTCTTCGACTAGATACGATTTGTGATCTTTTAACATATTATTCATCAAAATTGACTCCAGTTATTTATTTGTTTAACATTATTATTTTCTAAAAAATTTTTTAAATTGTTCTATTTTGCATTATCAGTATGTAATTAACGTCTGTTACCATAGTTTCGAATGTTTTTAATTCAAAACAAATACTTTCANTGTAATTAACGTCTGTTACCATAGTTTCGAATGTTTTTAATTCAAAACAAATACTTTCATTATGTTAAAGTGTATTTATATAATATATTTAAAATTTAATCTTAAAAGGATAAAAAACACAATGAGCTTAAAAAGAAGTAATAGTTGTTCTGACTTAACTGGTAATGCGACATTACAGTGCTTGAATAGTGGCACTATCTATCCCATTGAAGAGACTGAGGTA